ATTCGATCGTTTGAGCTTAGTAAATGTTTAGGTTTGTTTTAATGATCAAAAAAGGAGCTCCAATGTAAAGATACATCAATGATCAGTATATGCTTAGTGTTGAATGAATAATACAAAATTTAAAGGAACATATTGGTTTTGGTGGATGTCGTAGTGTGAACGATTTTGAGAAATTAAATCGGATTGGAGAGGGCACTTATGGGATTGTATATCGTGCAAGAGACACAAAAAACGATCAGATTGTTAGTTGCATTCATTTATTGAGTTTAATCATCCACGTAACAATTACTGTGAACATTTTAAAGTTGATATTGGCCATTATTGTTTCATCGAATTGTTTTTTTCTCATTCGAGTTCAATCAGTTTGAGTTTTCGGGAATATAAAAGTGATGTTTTGTTGAGGTTAATGCTTTCAATGTTCGTACTTCATTGGCTACAGAAGTTGAGTTGTAAAAGTGTGAATTTCATGTCGTGGTAACCTAGGAACAGGAGCATTTTAAGTGTTGTAGTAGTTTGTTGAATGAATATGTTTAATGACGATAATAATAATAATTCAGTCTTATTTAATCGAACCGATTATGATAATAATAGTGTTAATTAAAGGTTGCCTTAAAAAAGATTCGCATGAATGTTCGAAGCGAAGGAGAAGGCATTTCAACATCGGCATTACGTGAGATGCATTTACTGATGAGATTACGCCACAATAATATTGTGCATCTGAAGGAAGTAGCTGTTGGTAAAAAACTCACATCTATATTTATTGTTATGGAATACTGCTCGCAGGTAATATTTCTTTCAGTAAACTCTTTGCTATTAGCACCACTACAGTGACCATAAATAATTCCTCAAATATTTGTTACCATTTTGATTTTTATTAATCGTCGTGCATCCTAAATTGTCGAATATGCATCAAGTGATTTTCAAGAAATTCTATTAAAGCTTGTTGCAATTTAGCGTAGATTGAGCGTGTAATTGAGTCAAATTGTTTGAAATGATAACATTAATTCAGCCAGTATCATTTAGTCTATTTGTTGAAATCACTGGAGTATCACTGATAAGTTCGTGGAATATGTGATGTAATATAACCGCAGGTGTCATAAAGAGTATAGATAAGATAGATCGTGTTGGATGTTGATGAATCAATTTAAGTGTTTCATGATCTCGCTTCACTTCTTGATACCATGGCGGTACCGTTCACTGAACCTCAGCTCAAGTGCATCTTCATACAGCTACTTCAAGCGCTCTTATACCTACATAATGCAAATATTGTACACAGAGATTTAAAGGTTTGTCATTTCCAAAAATTTGTCTTCTTTTGCCTTTTTCATTATCCTTAGCCATCACAAAGTGATCTTTTTTTTGTTCTTCATGTGGAGAATTCCTTATAAGCTTCCAGTTAGATTGACTTTGGTTCCAGTATTTTTCTACTTTAATATTCTCCTGTTGATACGAAATCGATTTTTTTTACATCTCTTGGAATGCCATGATCTACTTTTAATACTTGCTGATCTAACACCAAAAACGATTGTCGAGCTAGTCTGTTGCAGGTTTCAAATTTACTTCTTACCGATGATGGTTGTGTGAAAGTGGCTGATTTTGGTTTAGCACGTATGTATGGCGATCCAACTGAAGAAATGACACCCAAAGTTGTAACGTTATGGTAAAATGCTTAAAGTCATTTATCTAGATGAAATACTCATCAAACGAACAGTCTCGTAATTGTTTTCAAATTCGTTCATTAAATGATGCATAGCTTACTGATCGGAATGCGTTGATCGTTTCGAATTTTAAATTGCTGACAATTTAATGTTGTGACAGGTACCGAAGTCCAGAACTATTGCTCGGCTCGAAACATCAAGGGCCATATGTAGACATATGGGCGTGTGGTTGCATTCTTGGTGAACTTCTCTTGCACAGGCCATTACTTCCTGGAAAAACTGAATTAGAGCAGGTCACTTATGATTTCTTGTGTTTTTTTTTTGCGCAAAGTTGCACGAAAAACTATTTCCATAGGATTTTCTATTATTTTGATGAGCGTGTATTTATAAGACATTTCGAGAGAAATCAATAAGGTATGAACGACCTCAATAGTTTTGTCAGTTCGAGGATTATGATTGTGGAAGTGTTTTATGACGTAACCTTTCATTATCATAAATAACGGAAACACTGATGCAGTTTTTTGTTCTATAAGTTGAAAGGTATTTATTTTTTATTGCGTGAAGCATTATCCATATACAGTGGCTGAATATAGTAACGTGACAGATATTTGCAGATAAATCTTATAATCGAAATGTTAGGCACGCCGACGGAGAAAATATGGAAGGGAATCAACGAGTTACCAGCACTTCGTGATTTTAATTTGCGGGTACAGCCGTATAATAAATTGAAAGGTTTATTCGAACGTTATTCATCGAGTTGTGTTCAGTTACTGAATGCACTTTTCACTTACGATCCACATTTGCGTATCTCCGCGCTGGCTGCGCTCAATTCTAGGTTTGTTTTCCGATTGAATATTATCCTTCTTGTTATTATGACTCTTGTCGTTATCACTGATGGAATATCACCATAATTATTGACGTCTTACTATAGCAAGGATCTTAACTAATACGTTTTACGATTTCAGGTATCTTCATGAAGCACCGTTACCATGCGATCCATCAATGATGAAGGATCTTAACTAATACGTTTTACGATTTCAGGTATCTTCATGAAGCACCGTTACCATGCGATCCATCAATGATGCCATCGTTTCCACAGCATCGCAATCGTAAACGTAAACGTATTGTTGAATGATTCGTTGATGTTGTTATCATTTGGATGATTCTGAGTAAATTATTTCGAATAAAAAGCATTGCTTAATACACTCATCAACAAAGACATTATTATTCATTGGGATTGCATGCTAGAAGCGATCACATCGAGATGAGATATATTTACCCGAAGGCGTATTCTCACAGTTGATGCACATGCAATTTCACCCATTGCTTGCACCTCCTCAATTAGTCCACCAAATATACGAAAAAAAAAACTGCCAAACTCTTTCATAGTGATCATTGAAACGTACCATTTGAACATCACCAAGATAACTGTGGTGTCACGATTCCTACCATATTGTGTAGAAATTCTTGCAGATCGCATCTGGCAGAATGCTTCATTGAGCCATTTTTCGATCACTATTTTTCAT